CAAGATCTGCTAGAATACAACATCAGAAATTTGTACAAGCATACAATTTGCTGAAAGCGTAAGCGGCTTAGTAGCGAGGTTGAATMAAATTTATAAACCTTTTCTTCATTTACATACCATCAATTTACGAAGTAATCACTTTCATCTTCCATAGCCAATCAGTACTTTCAAAACTAATGAAATATAGAAGTACTTTTTCCAAGTTCCACTGGGCATACATAGTTCAATTTATACAATTTATATTTTACATACATATGTATGTATGTATATAAATTATATGCAGTCGTTTGCGCTTTGTAAATATACGAATCTGTAAGCATACATTTCTAAACATTGAAATTAACATATTTTTTCCCATTGGCTCTAACAACTACTCAGTTCTGTTATTGTCGTGACCCTGATGGTACCCGCTAATTTTCACCCGCTAATAATTTTCTGTGGTGAAACGCACTCATCCAAAACAGTAAATATCCCAAAATTGAAATATCCCTAAATTTTTGATATCGTGAACCTTCTCTATAAATATACGTTCTCTGCACCCGGTGTTGGATCGACCAGGTTAATTTTTTTTAAGCGCGGCCGAAGGCTCCCCAAGCAAAAAGGAGGTCAACGCGAAAACACTCTGATACAACCCGATGTTGGACCGACCAGGGTTATTTTTGTTGAAGCGCGGCCGAAGGGTGCCCGCGCAAAACCAAGTTCGACACGTAAACAATTTTATACACCCCGGCGTTGTCCGACCATGGTTATTTTTTTTWAAGCGCTGCCGAAGGCCGAACACGCAAAAAGGAGTTCAACGCGAAAAACAATTTGATACACCTCGGTCTCTGTCCGACCAGGGTTATTTTTTTATATTTAATTTTGAATTTGTTTGGCGGAAAAATGTGGCCAACAGACACGATGACCCGTTTGTAAAGTTATTAGAGGCAATAAAATTTATATAYAAGCCTTAATATACGTTTGTTTTATAAAAAAAATAAAAGAAAATACGTAATTAAAATAGTGGTAATTTTCAATTTTAAACGCGAATATCTCGAAAACTATAAGCTTCCTACGGCTATAATATTCTTATATCTATATTCATGATCTGGAGAATCTCCTCTATCCGACCATRTCCATTTTAATCCCGACGGTATACTAAATTCTTCCCGRAATTTATAATGTCTGCTGTCTAACTCGTCTGTGAGAGTATTAATATAAAATATTTACATTCCGTACATTTTTATGTTTGAAAATGAAATTTTTGAAATACGCAGTTCTTAGCAATTGCACAGAAGGGCATCAGCCAGCATGAAATAAAAAAACTGTGCAGTATTGCTAGTATTTACTGCATTTCCGAAAAAACCCTATGTTTCTAGACATAGACCTCTGGAGAAATTTCAATTTAAAAATCAGTTGTCGGCTTATGAATGTTAAAATGATCAAGTTTACACACTTAATCTGACCCTTGGTGCGTAATGTCCGTACGGCGACTTTCGTGTGTTGAGTATGGAGGTTACTGCAAAACACTTTGAAGATTTTTGTGTAAAGTACGTGTCCCTATCAGTGATTAGGTATATACAACGGTAAACCAAAAAAATTTTTTGTATAGCTTTACAAATTTACTGAAAAACGCGATGAAATGGCTTGATCGAATTAAGAAGAGAAGAAACCTTCTATATCGACTTCGTTTGCAGGTTAGTCGGCGCTCGACTTAAATTATTCAAGTTTTTTGACCGTCAGCAAACATTTTAGTTCCTTATACTATTTTACATCAGCAACAGTAGAGCAATGGGCTACGATTTTTAATTGTTTCATTGTTTAATTGTTTATCARAATATGTTCGGTTTCTTAAAGACGTGAGAAAGTCGTTATAGTCGTAGTAAACCTTAGACACCTAGTACACTAGAACTAATTGTTATTAAGATATTGTCCTTTATGTGCAGAAAAATTGTTGGTGCGTTCAATAACAGGAATACAGTGAAATTCCTAACTACTATCAAATTCGAAAATGCGAGTTCGTAGATGAGCGTAATCGGACACGCTCACAAATTAGCCGAAAACTTATAAAGTGCCATAACTAAGCACTAAATTAAGACATAAAACTGTAGCAAGGGGCACCTATGGSTAATAATTTATAGAAAGTGAGCGTGGCCCCGAAATTTAGTTAGTTTAATCTGAACCCCTAAAGCTACAACTACCAAGTTTACCGGCTTAAATATTACGAGAAGCCCTACCGACAGTGTGCTAATAAATGAAATCGGAACACAACTCCGCACAACCGCTCACTCCCCATGTAAAGGTAGTTTTAAAGCGAAACAAATCAATATATGAGTTATATATAGTATATGTGTATATGTATAAAGTTACTTGGATTTAGATCCTCTGGTTGACGTTTTACTACTTAAAGTATTTCCTTGGCTTTGATTCTTCCAAGTTTCAAGAGTATAAAATTTTCGGTTCCTCCCGAACTTAGACTTTCTTATTTGTTTAGCAATGTATTAATTTGCGTGTAGGGACGTATTCTCCTCCACCAAAACCACGTAAAATTGTTAATTCTTTCTTCATTTTACCAAATGTTTTGTGCACAAGGTTACGAGTGCTCCCCGTTACTTGCTCGTTATTTGAAATTTAGTACTCCCTACAATACCTTGCAGTAACATAATTACCAAAATTAGCACTATTGTAACATTTTTTATATAATGCACACTATTGTGTGCAAAAAAAAAGTATTCTTATACCCATTCCCCGAAATATTTTTTTCTAGGTTGAAATGTCACATTACAATATTCATTAGTGTTTAGTACACGCTTGTCTTGCACTTGGCGATTTTAACGATGAGTAAAATTATTCAACAGAGAAGTTCGAAGCGTTAAGTTCTCGCAACTTGCAAGGATCAAATACGGGGAAATATTTACTTTTATGTTTTATTAAAACTTTGTATTAATTGAGTTAATCAATTGCCCTGATTTCACAGATTTTTTGCAAAGGGATTCACTGCTTTTAGAAAGATATTCTTTTTGAATTTCAATTAAACTCTTACTGATCGACATTTATACTAGGTATATGGGGACTATTGGAATTAGTGGTCCGAGTTTTCATATTTTAAAATCATATTTTGCCTTAATTCCAATATTAGTCTCACATATTGACCGATTGGTCAAAAAATCAGGCATATACAACCTTGAAATGTTATAGTTCGATGAAGCTTGGGGGTAAAGTTTTATTTTGATTCATTCATGGTGTTTGATTTGTATAATATAAACTGAAAGAATGGAAGAAGAAGGAATTTGAAAGATGGAGAACAAGATGTTGTTTTAATCCGAATTTCACAAAAATGTTGGGATAGCCTCACACCAAAATTTRGTTGAAATTRGTATAGCAGGGCCTGAGATATATAATTTCACTCAAAGGTGGGCGGCGCCACGCATCTTGTCTAATTTTTTTACCCGAACCTATAATTCCATTCCCTTTCACCTTGGTTGAAAAATTTAATGCTTGTGGCCCATTTAGTCAGTGAGTATTATACAAGCGCGGTTATTGACTGAATTTAGCCATTTTCAGAGTGTATATTATAAAAAATGCTAAAAAGAATTTGTTTTAGGAAGTGTGGTTGATTAAATCTTTAGTGGGTTGGAAGATATGTACATTAAACAAATTAGGCTCTACCCAGTTTTAAAAAATGTTTAGCTCACAAGTGTTCCTTACTACTGCAATCCCTTGCATCAAAGCATGGCGCGGTGATATAAAGAAACGATAGGTGGACAAACTACTTATAGTACTCCGTAAAAAAAGTTTTGAAGAGTATAAAAATGTTGCGAAAAATGCAATCTGCGTTATCCGAAGAAATTGTGAATGGATAAYAATCATATTTAGTATCTAACTTAAACTGTATGCCATATATTTATATTAACATTAATTTAACTAACATAAATGGTTATATGTACTCATCACGAAGGCTATAGACTGATACCCATAACTTGTATTAACGTATGATATAATGCATTTTAATATTGTATATTTACGCAAAACATATCTAAGATATCCCCTATTAAGTTATATAACAATTCAACAAAAAGAGTTTCGACAGTTTTTAGGCGGGCAGTGGTACTTTACTCTCTTGACTTTTACATACATACATGCATAAGTGTACATCACATATGGAAATTAGACGTAGCTGTAYAGCGAACTTGCACGTTTTCATAGTGTAACATCTGATTTTAGYCATTTTCACAGTAAATGAATAAGATGTAGAAAGGATTGTTCTCAACACGTTCGCTCGATTTGGCCGCCATTCACCATCCGCGTGCAGCCTCGTTCGTCGATAGATCTGTGATAAGCTCGACGGATTTAACGAAACTAGAACTATGAGAGCAAACACTTTGCAACTGTAGAGATAAAATAAATTTATATAGCCGACGCTCGGCTGTGCGCACTTATGTTGTGGCCGTCGACTATAGTCGACGACCGTACCGAAGTGGTTAATGAGAGATTTATGTGCAGTTGGAGCATTTAATAACTCGAATACACCCCAATTAATAGCTCAGCAATCTTAGTGAAATAAAGTAGGCATGTTTGAATATAATTTTGTTTATACTTTATCAGGTTTGTCCTAATCTTGTTCACCGAATGGTTGTTTGTTTTATCTAAAGCTATCGGGAATGTTTAGTTATTTGCATATATCAAAGTAATAAGAATGACGAGTTAAAATGGATGGGACCATGTGGTTTTAAAATATACTAATGTTTAGTTTATCGTACATATGTACTTATAACCTACTAAAGTTATAACAACGTAATCAGTCAACAGTCAATATATCCCCTTATAACTTTGGTATAACGAATATAAGGATATCCATTCATCCGGTTGACTTTTATGCAATGATCAGGTCCAATATATTATTAATATTATATATAACTTTATTTCACGTATATTACTCTATATAAATAAATGAAAGTAAAGAGACATATTTTTGTTTCAAATATTAATATATTTCACTTTAATTCAATTTTTCAGGGTTTCCATCAACCTGGTTTATACGTGCTCGACACACTGTTTTCCGTTCTAGTCATTGGAACTTTAGTTGTTATTGTCTGGAGAGGAGTATGGGGAATAATGGATATAACATTTTACCCGTTCGACCGGACAAAATCATCTTGGAGTTCTTTGGTAAGTAATTATAATTTTTTTTGTATAAATTTAAAATTTTAATTTTTGCCTTTGAATACATTTAAGCATTCTAGCTGGTTTTTTATTTTTTCGAAAATTTATGTTAACATTTTTATAAGTCCTTCTTCTTCCTCTTTATTGGCGTGCCAGTTGTTCCTCCTTTTCGCTGCTTTTCGCCAATTGGAGATTATAAGCGAAGCCAGGACCTTCTCTACCTGGTCTTTCCCAAGGAGTGGAGGTCTTCCTCATCCTKTGCTTCGCCCGGCGGGTACTGACTCGAATATTTTCAGAGCTGGATAGTTTTCGTCTATTTTAATTCGCACAATGTCAATATGGTCGTATATCACATGTAGCCTATCGTTCCATCGAATGTGATATTCGCCGTGGCCAATGCGCAAATGACCATAAATCTTCCGCGAAACCTTTATCTCGAAAACTCATAACTTCGCCTCATCAGATGTTACTATTGTCCATGCGTCTGCAACATATGGTATGACAGGAATAATGAGTGACTTAWATGCTTTAGTTTAAGTTCGTCGAGAAAGGACTTTACACTGATCAGGTCCAATCAGGTCTCTTTTTTATGGATGAGGCAAAGCGCAATTAAATTTCAATGTTGTTATTCTTGTTTTAACGGTTATCTAGTCCCCGTTAGGGTGGTAAGGGTCATTTGTGTTGTCGTCAAGGTCATCTAACAGAAGGCCCAAGAAAMKTGCTGTTTCGACGGGGTCGGAYCAAAGGGAGGAGGGTGTTAGATGAGTGGAGTTTGTAGGGCATGCAAAGATGTGGCCAGAAAAGTTTCGTAACCTTCAACTTTAGGAAAGCTGGGATTTAGTCAAACAAGCATCAGTATGTTTCAATTTCCTCAATGCCGGCCATCGTAGTCGCGACGATCCATTTGATTTAAGACTGAACTGCCGATAGAAACACAATACTCTTCTATGTAGACGTTCCCATCAGAGGAACGTTGAAGGTATATCCGCCACATTTACTTCTGGAGCGTCGGCCTTAGCGCCAAAGGTTCTTTCTCGACATCAATGACCAAGGACTAAAGGTTATGTAAAAGTGCCCTAATGAACTCTTGGGTACGTATCAACTGAAGACAGTGACGTACGGTATGCCAAGTAGTCCTTTTATTTATCAATCAGAAAACAATTCCGCCGACTGCGTCAGCCGATAGCAATCATGGGGAACCAACTTTAGTCGAGAAAGGAGTCCGTTAAGTRTGCATCATGACATTAACAGCGGGGACGGTTTACTGGTGCATCCTTTCGAGCACAACGAATACCTTTGGAAGCAAGGTTTAGCCGTTTGAGTGCCTTACTGTATACAACTGCTCGAKTACGTCGTAAAGTAAACTGCTTCCACTGAATTTGATTTTGGACGAAGAAGGCATATTGCGTGGGCGGTTAACAATTTCGGAATTACCATATGAGCAAAAACATCCAATCATTCTTGCCAATACCATTCCATTGGCAAAACTTTTCTAACGTGATGCTCACAAGTGCTGGTGGGATACCGGAGATGGTGCAGTACTTATGCATGCGCTTTTGGATTATATATGCACGTCGGATTGCAGGCATTTATCGACACGTTTGATCGCTTCATAAGCCGGCTTGTAATATGTTCGATTCTTTATAGCGAAAACGGTAGGTGCTAGTCGAGTTCTATATCAAGACCTTCGAAATTGAGATTTAGATGATGCGCTTAGCCTCGTACATCATACGATTCTACTGTTCTTTGGTCAGACCATTGTCCCGTATGAAAGTATGTACCTATTAAAATATTTTCAAACGGCGGGTTGGGCTTATATCGAGCATATGTATCTTTAATATCGCGAATTGCGACTATTTGATCGACGTTTTGTACATCAACTCAATATATTACATTTAGCCTCTTCTGTTAACTACGAATTGAGGATTTACATGTAATATAATATTGCTATTCACTGACGATTTCGTCAGTTTGAATGTAGAATTCCTTTGCAAGATTTTTATACTTTTGCAACATATAACTACAGAGTATAATAGTTTCGTTCACCTAAAAGTTATGCGTAAGTTTCTTCAAGATTCAACCATTTTTATTGATATATATTATATTAGTTTAATTGTTAATTTAATTTATTGTACATCATATTTTTATTAATTCTTTTATTTCTATAAAATAATTAAAATCTTTTTTAAGATTCTTGGCTACATAATCGTCGTCATAACATTCGTTATTAAACCTATTATACGCTGCATATGCAAGAAAATTGACGGAATATGTAAATTAATTATTTGTGACATGTTCTATTTTTTAATATTTTTTGGAGCTGTAAATGCTTGGCGAGGAATATGGAACCTGTTGGATATTTACGTATATCCAGGTAAGTATAACGCAAGTAAGTTAATAACGCTCAAAAACAAAAATTAATTAATATGTGATGAAAAACAAATGCTTACGTATACTCGAAGAAACCGACTAAGTTTAGTAAATTGTATTTTACTATTTTAAACCATTAAATACTATGAATTTATTCTTACGTACAAAACGATGCAAATATTATAGCTAATATCAAGGATCAGTTCTAAAAATTTTACCTTGATGACGTATAACAAAATGGTAATTTACCAACTTATTAACTAAGAAGTAGTAATGAGCTAAGTTCGGATATAACCGAATATTTCATAATCTTGCAAAGATTAAATCCAGGGATGTACTTTCAGGTACAAAAGCCTTTGTATTTATATGGGTCTAGTGCGAGTTTTCACCCGATTTTAGTCATTGTAAGCACAAAGATGAACCGTTATAAGAAAAATACGCTTTCTCAATTTTAGTGAGTTAACTCACAAATAGGCCGATATATGCGGTATAAAGTCTCCCGGAAGTTCGAAAATCTTTATAAGAGGTGCATGGGGGTAAAGAGGACTATTGACTCGATTCAACCCATTAGTAGCACACAGCCTTACTACCATCAGGATTGTCTCTGAATTTCAATTATATATCTCACACATTGACCGATGTTTGCGGTAAAAAGTCAACTAAAAGCACTGGGTACACATATTCAGTACCTAGGAGCTTAAACAGTTTTGGTTCGATCTAGGGAATTTTTGGTTATAAGGTGGCACATCTGATATCTACTATTCCTGCAAAGTTTTATCTTGATGTATTTTAAGAGGATGGAGTCATGTGTAGAAGTTCACGCAAGTGAGGAAAGTTTTCTGATCGCCATTCACTTGGGAGTGGCCAGAAACGATTCTTATACATATGGCTCAAGCAGCTCACAACTTCTGGTCTTTGACCAAGTATCCTCTGGGTAGCCTAAAAACATCCGTTTGAAGGCGAGCTGAAGTGACAAGGCCAAATATCTCCTGCATAGGGATGTGCGCTGGGTTTGGGACTCGCCACGAAATAAGGACTACGAATTGAGGGCATGCAACTGGAATGTCCGGTCCCATAATTGGGAAGGTGCCGCTGCCCAGCTGGTTGATGTCCTCGTGAAAATAAAGGCTGACATTACCACGGTCGAAGTAATGCGATGGACGGGACAAGGACAGAGACGAGAAGGTCCTTTTGGCATTTGCTACAGTGGTCATATGAAGGAGCGCAAGTTTGGTGTAGGATTCGTGGTGGGAGAGGGACTACGTCGCCGAGTACTATCATTCACTCCGGTGAATGAACGTCTAGCCACAATCCGCATCCAAGCGAGGTTTTTCAACATATCGCTTATTTGCGCCCTCGCCCCGACGGATGAGAAGGACGATGTGACCAAAGATTCCCTTTATGAGTGCTTGAGCRYACTTATGAGAGCTGCCCCCGCCACGCTGTCAAAATCGTGCTTKKCAACTTTAACAGCAGGGTGGGCAAAGAAGGTATCTTTGGTCATCAAGCTACCTGGCTGTCTCCGGATCGAAAAACCACCAACCAGATCGATCATGTTGTGATAGACGGAAGACACGTCTCCAGTGTTTTAGATGTGCGTACGCTCCGAGGTCCTAACATCGACTCGGACCACTATCAGTAAAAAAAAGCACGCCAACAAATACAAGGAAGGTTCGACGTCGAGAAGCTGCAATCATAAMAGACAGAAGAACGATTTTCTACTCAATTTGCACTCCTGCTATYAAAGAGCACTCGTCAACAACTCGGTATAAAGGAACTGTGAGACAGCATTTCAACGCTTTACGTACAGCTGCAACCAYTCAACATTGGTTTTCGGAAAGTGCAAAAGAACAGCTGGTACAACGAGGAGTGCCGTGTCGCAGCGGAGAGAAAACAGGCTGCCTCCTTCGCAACGTTACGATCGACCACAACAAGTGGGGGATGGGATAGATACCGAGTGTTAAAGAGGGAAGCGAGAAGCATTTTCAGACAGAAAAAGAAAGAGGCCGAAATGGGTGAGTACGACGAGCTTGATAAGCTGGGCGACAGGGGTAATGCTCGAAAATTCTACGAAAAAATGCGGCGGCTTACAAAWGGTTTCAAGACCGGAGTATACTCTTGTAGAACCCCAGAAGGTGACTTAGTCTCCGATGCCCAGAGCATACTTAAATTATGGAGGGCAGGCTGGAGAAGTGCCTGCTGAATGGCAGTGAACGCACAACGCCAAGAGAAGGCGAACCGAATTCCCCAATCGATGACGATGAAGCAGAAGTTCCATTGCCCGARCATGAAGAAGTTCGAATAGCAATTACCCGTCTGAAGAATAACAAAGCGGCGKGGGCCGTTGGATTGCCGGCCGGGCTATTCAAACACGGTGGCGAAGAACTGATAAGGAGCATTCATCAGCTTCTTTGTAAAATATGGCCGGACGAAAGCATGCCCGAGACCCCACAATCCGCACCACCTACCGTGGGATAAGCCTCCTCAACATCGCGTACAAGGTTCTATCGATCGTATTGTGTGAAASATTAAAGCCCACCAAAGACAAACTTATTGGACCTTATCAGTGTGGCTTTAGACCTGGAAAATCAGCAACCGAGCAGATAATCACCATCCGAAAAATATTGGAAAAGATCCGTGAAAGGAGAATCGACACACACCACCTCTTTGTCGATTTCAAAGCTGCTTTTGACAGCACGAAAAGGAGCTGCCTTTATGTCGCTATGTCTGAATTTGGTATCCCCGCAAAGCTAATACGGCTGTGTAAACTGACGTAGAGCGTCACCAAAAGTTCCGTCAGAATCGGGAAGGACCTCTCCGAGCCATTCGATACCAAACGAGGTTTCAGATAAGGCGACTCCCTATCRTGCGACTTCTTCAACCTGCTTCTGGAGAAAATAATTCGAGCTGCAGARCTAAATGGAGAAGGTACCATCTTCTATAAGAGTGCACAGCTGCTGGCGTATGCCGATGATATTGATATCATTGGCCTCAAAACCCGCCCCGTTAGTTCTGTT